CCTCCTACGTGCCTGGTACTGTATCTAAAGCTGCCCAGTCTAGTAGAGCCTCCCCCCCTTACTTTTCATTTTAAATTCTAGTGAGATCCACATACCTCCCTTGCTAGGCTTCAGATAGAGAGGTGCAATGTCCATTTAGTCCACCCAATCCCTTCTTTGGGGGCTGCAAGGTGAGGTCACACCAGTATCCCTAATCCGGTCTGGGGATATCTTCTGAAGGGGATATCTGGGCCAAAGCCTTCTACACCTTGGGCAGACTTGTTCCCCATTCACAGTGCCACCCCGCTCTAGCAGTGAGCTCTCCATTCACAGCAAGCTGCAGCATGAAGTTTCAGCTACCATACTCCCTCCCTGTTGATAGCAGCCAAGGGAATGCTGGGAAATGTAGTTCTTTCCCTGGCTCTATAGGCAGGGAGCTAAGCAAGGAACTACAGCTCCCAGGGCCCCCTGTTGGTTCTCAGCTCCCAGGCTGGATCCCTGCTGCCCCTGCAAATGGGCTGCCCCAAGCACCTGCTTGCTTTGCTGGTGCCTAGAGCCGCCCCTGCCCTTCTCCCACAGGAATCGCTCCCGGCAGTCCTCCCCCTGGGAACCGGCACCGCCGTGGCCAGCCAGGGCCCTCAGCTTCTCCAAGGGGGGATCCTCCTGCAGCTCCGTCTGGAATTCAGCTGCTGGGTTGGAGAACACAGCCCTGGCTGGTGATGCCTCAGTTTCCCACTTTGGGATGGAGGCTCCGGCCCAGCCCTCTCAAGCCCCCCCCTCGGCGCTTCGGCCCCCCCACTCAGGAGGTCCCGCGTCCCTCGCTGGCTCCGGCTCCGGGTAAGGACACTCTGAGTGCTATCCGGCCAGTTCTCCAAGTCATTACCCACTAGCACCTTGGTGGGTGATTGTGATTGTGCCCCCCGACCTCTTTGGGTCATGTTGTACTTAAAGTACCACACAGGGTCTTTTCAGGGGGGATAAGGCAAAGTGCCACAAAGTACCAAAGTGCCACAGTGGTAATACATGTATCCATCAACACTGTATGATATGCAGACGATCTATATTACACTCAAGCACTCACATACACACACAAGCACACTCCATCTTGTTGTTGTTACCAAGTAGTTGCTCCCCTTAACTGCACTGGCCAGGTGAGTTAGATGGGGGAGGGGTGGAGCCGGGCTTCTGCCGATCCGGCTCGATGCTCCCATGTTGACAAGACGAGACCCGAGATCCCCTGCAAGACACCTCACATTTATAGCAGCTTTCCTCTCATGCAAATCTACACCAGATGCAAAATCTGTGTCTGTGTCCCTTGGTCCTTTGTGCTGCTTCTCTCTGGGTGTTGTCTTAATGCTGCCACATTTAAGTTCAAAGAGGGTGTTTTCAAAAGAAGGTGCTCGCTTCTAACTCCCAAGGCCCTCAGTATGTCTAATCTTATTGTTCTGGGTCTGGCTTCCAGCCCCTCTCCAAGGGTTGCAGCTGTCTGGAGGTGCTGCCTTCCACGCCTTCCTCATTCACACCTCGTTCATTCAACAGGGCAATTGATTAAAAGGGGGGAGATCTTATTTTACTCCTAGCGAAAAGACATTTTTCTTCTACCTCAACTATTCTTAGGGGCTATAACATTATACCAAGGCTCAATACAAAGTTTCTCTATAAGGACTTGATACAAAGTTGTATGAAAATAGAGGTTATATATGGAAAGAGTTAATACAAGGTTATATGAAGAGACATAATACAAAGTCATAGGAAAGTTATGTGAAGATGCTTAATGCAGAGATTTATCTACATGACTCCCGCCGGTCACAGACTCTATTTCCAACCCTGGGGTGGGGGGCAGAGCTGCAGGGGGCCAGTGGTCAGACTCCCTGGCTGGCCTCAGGTGGGGCTGGGGGTGAGGCAGGTGATCTCTGATGCAGCCGGGTCCTGAGCTACGTCTGGGTGAACCCCCTGCCCCCTAGCCCCATGGGCAGGCAGTGCTAACCCTGGTAGGGGACAGACTTCTAGAGAGGCCGAATGACGGATGGACTGAATTGGGGTGGGGGGAGGCGGGGTCTGTGTCTCCCCTGTTTAACTCCTGTCTCTTGTTGAAAGCAGGGCGTGAATTTCTCAAACCCACCATCTGGGTGAGCCCCAGCAGGGTGGTGGCGCTCGGGGGAAGCGTCACCATCCGCTGTGCGGGTCGGTGCCCAGGCATGGAGTTCTTTCTGCATAAAGCTGGAGACCCGAACCCGCAGGTGTGGACGGTGCCTGATGGGACCGTGGCTGAATTTCCCATCCCCAGTGTCGGCCGGGAAGATGGAGGGAGCTACACCTGTGACTATCGCTCCATAGCAGATCAGAGTCGCTCATCGCATCCCAGCGACCCCGTCGAGATCATTGTAGGACTAGGAGGTGAGGGAGGGGCCTGGCTCAGCGTCCCGGCTCCCAGCCCCACACCCAGCCAGATCCTCAGGGGGTCTCTGCACCAATGGGACGCTCAGAGCCAGGCTCTGCCCTGAGTCCTGGGCCCAGCAGAGGGGACGCCCGGCCGGGGAGCAGGGACGGAGTCACTGGGGGGTTCCCCAGCCAGGAGGGAGCAGCAGCCGCTGGAGATTTGGGGCAGAGGGAGGGGCGATCCCGGGAGCTGCAGAGCAGGGGGGCCTTTCCCAGGGAACAGTTCAGTTAGGGGGTGATGGGCGGAGCTGAAGATTATAAACCTCAGTGTATAGTAGAGACTTGCACAGTCCCCTACAAGTCAGTGGTGGTGCTGTGCACAGAACCCAGGAGTCCTGGCCCCCATCCCCCTGCTCTCCCCACTAGACCCCACTCCCACCCAGAGCCAGGGACAGAACCCAGGAGTCCTGGCTCCCAACAGAGAAGCCAGGGAGTGAATGGACCCTGGAGGCTGGACTGGCCTGTCACCCACTAGGGAGCAGAGCTCTGGGCCCCCAGGGGCTGGGGTTGCTCCGTGTCTCATGCTGTTAGCCCAGGGCTCAGAGGAAACTCTGGGCCCCCGTGGAAAGGCATCCAGGAGCCCGTCCCCAGGGCTGCCGGGTCTGACCCACCACTGAGGCCGTGTGGTGAGGACGGGCCCCAGGAGTGAGGGACGGGGCCTGCATCTCACTAGGGTGCCCATACGTCCTCTTTTTCCCGGACATGTCCGG